CCTCCTGCTCCTCTTCCCAAGTGCTTTAGAGGCCCTGCAAAAATGACAGGGAATGGGCACAGACCTGGTGCTGTAAGGGATGTCTGAGCTGGGACACTGGGCACAGCCACCTGCAGCACAGGGCAGTAAGGGCAGGGTCATGGTGGGGACAGGGTTGCTGGAAGGTCATGCCAGCATTTCTTTGTTGAGTGTGTGGCCAAACACTCAACAGGCTTCCTAGAGCTGGATGATATCCATAGGCTGTGTGTGTTGACAATGCCCTTCATTGTAGTCAGCCCTGCAGTGGCCTGGCAGTTGGACGATATGATGATTGAAAGGCTTTCCCACCTGAAATCGTTTATTCACCTCTTTCTTCCATAAATAGCAAGGGAAGGGTTCTATTGGAGGGAGCTGGCACACCAGGCACAGCCACATTAGCACAGGTCAGCAAGGGCAGAGTTCATGCCAGGGCCATCAAATGGGGACAGCAGAGACTCCTAACTGGCCCCTGCGTGGCCAGAGAGCTTTTTATCACTTCCCTGTTTCTCCAAGTCACTGTGGCAACACTGTTGCTGCTGCTTTTCTAGATACCACAGTAACAGACAGCTCCTTCCTTAGGCTGGACCCCAGTGATGGTTCATGTGCTCACGGAGACGGATGTAGATGAGAGAATGGCAAAGGGATGTCCGAGGGTCCCTGGGTGATCTCATAGTTCACAGTGACAGATGGAGGCACTGCCAGGAACCTTCTCCTGGGACACATAATCTGAATAGTTTGTCCCAGGATTGATGATACCAAGGAGAGATGACCCAACACTGTCGGGATCAAGCAACCTGAAGAGGAGAGAGGGGAGAAAGGGAGTGTCAGCTAATGTTCCTGGGGCTCACAGCCCTCCCTGGGCAGGGGAACAGTGATGGGACAATTCTGCCTGCAGGTACACAGATTGGACATCCTGGGCCATGACAGGGCTGGTGGGAGGTCATAACTTCCTCAAGTGTCAGGGGATGGGAACAGTCCTGGAGCTGTAATGGACAGCTAAGCCAAGTGGGTTTTGTATCAGTTTGCCGTTGCTCTGTGTCACTGTGGCAGCACCACTGCTGCTGTCCTGACCACCACAGAAATAGACAGCCTCGTCCTCGGCTTGGACCCCAGAGATGGTTAATGTGGCCGTGTTGCCCGATATGGATCCGGAAAATCGCGAAGGGATGTTCGAGGGTCTGTTGGTCTTAGCATAGATCACAGTGACAGGGCCACTGCCAGGGACCTTCTGCTGGAACCAGCCATACCAGTTGCTGCTAGCCCCAGAGCAGGTGATCTTGACAGCGTCTTCTGCTTTGTGAAACAACAAGGACGACTGAGTCAGCACTGCTGCCTGGACCAGGGAACTTGGAGAGAGAGAGAGGAGAGAAGGGAGAGAACAGTGGTCAGTAGAGCCCCAGGAGCACAGCCCTCCCTGGGCAGAGGGGCAGGAGCCCAAAGGCCTTGTTTTGGCACAGCGAGTCTGGGCATGGCACTTGAACTGTGTTTGAGCACCACGAGGAAGAAAGGGATTGAGGCCATGGTGTGATCCCACCAGCTCCATGTCCTCACCCTGATGGGGCTGTGCTGTGGGCCCAGACTCACATTTAAGCCCCTGCCCACCCAGGACACAGTCCCTCCATGCAAATCTGACCCTCACAGTTGGATCCTGCCTGCACCTCTCTCCTCACCTCCCTCTCCACTTCATGACCAGCCCTACCACCAGAGATGCAGCAGGGCTTGTCTGTGGTCACATAGCAGAGACACCTCCCAGCTCTGAGCCCGAAACCTGCCAGCACAGACACCACGGCCTCAGCTCAGGCTGAGAGGTTGCAGGATCAAGGGCCAAAGGGCAAGGGAGAGATGTGCACAGGGGGCAAGGGAGTATAGGAGCGCCCATAGCTCCTCTTGAAGGGGCTGGGACAATGCCAAGCCCCAACATTCCCCACTTCACTTTTGGTACTCTTCCCTCCCATGTGTGTCCCATGTGCTTGATGATGGTATGGGGGCTTAGGGCAGGCTATGCCTCAGGCTGCTCATCCCTTGGTCTTGGCAGAGCCAGGAGGGCTCATTGGGGTCCCAGGGTTGAGGAGAAGCTGCACAGAGCCCCCACGATATGTGTGTGTGTACACGTGTGTGTTCCCATCCCACCCTCCCTACTGGTGGCACTGGGTTGACACCAGCCCGTGTGTGGGGAGCGGGCGCATTGGAAGGACACAGAGACAGGGATGCTGAGCCAGCACTAGTTCAGTGTCGGTTTTTATTTGTCTGACACTCAGAGTGGGGGGACAGGAGCAGGGGACAGGGAGCAGGGGAGCGAGATGTGCGGCTGGGGGGAGCCGCTGTCCCCAGAAGTGCGGAGGAGTGAGCGAGCCA